AAAAAAAAAAAAAAAAAAAAAAAAAAAAAAAAAAAAAGGTAATAATATAAATAATACACAGTAGTAATATTTGGTAATTCGTCTTTATTGATGATGAACAGAGTTATGGAAAAAAAAAAAAATATATATATATATATATATAAACATTTGTACAATACATACAAGTCTTATGTGTTATTAATAAACCATTTGCGTAATGCGTAAACGTTGTAGAATGTACATTGTTTTGAATTCATATCTTTGTGGAAAATACACCGAGGTAAAGTATCGTCGGACTGCATTTGGTTGAGCCGCGGACATCCTAGTTCTTGTAAATTGATGACCTCGATGTGCGGCACGAACTCTTGTAACATCCGTTGTTTCTGCAATCCTTTCACGTACATACGGTCGAATTTCATCGAGTTCAAAATCCGATTGATTTCACCGTACTCCACGTCTCCGTGTTCCAGAGAAAACCCATGAAAGTATCGCTTCAGCCATCGGTTGGCCCTTTGCGATTTCTCGTCTTGAACAATAGACGTATGTTTGAATATCCAATGTTGACTGGTCCACGTCTCCGTGTCCACTACGGACATTTCTTTTACAAAATATCTACTATGCACGCCGAGAACGCACTGAACATCCACAATGGCCATCGTAATAGTTTTACGTATTATGCTCTATCTTTTATATATACTTCGAGCGAATTCACACGACTTGATAGTTTGGAAATTATGTTATTTATCGATTTCGATCGATCCGCGGTCTCGATCAGATGCTGTGCGAAAGGGTCGGCAAATCGGGATTGAAGTCCGTCGCACAATGTTCTTATACCGTTTATCTGGTCCTGGGTGTCGATTCCTTTTTCCAAAAGCGTTTTGATACTTTCCTGTTGCTTCTTCTGAATTTTTTCCACGTTAGTTATGAATATTTCGTTGTTTTCCTCGATTCTGGTCACGGCTTTTCTCCTCTCGCCATCCGTAGTTGCGCCAAACACGTTCATAACGATACTGATGTTATTCTCGCATATCACTCGCTTTTATCCAGCTACTGTGCGAGTCATCGAATCCCAACCACTTGACGAACAAACGATTTCCCCTTCTCCGGATAATTTTCTCGACTAAATAATCGTCTGGGTACATGGTTTTCGACAATTCCTCGGAATAAAAACAACCCGAAATCGGCGTGCCGGTATAATCTCGCAGGCCGTACGTTACAGGAGACGTTTTATTTACTCTGGCGACAGTGAATATTTCTGCGGACCAGTTGGCCAGATATCCTTTGGTAAAAACACCTTTCCGTATACTTATACGGACATTATCACCTACTTTATATTTAGATATTTTCCCCGGGATATCACCTCGCTGATTACGCAATACAATCGAAGCGGGCGTTTCATCCGCTTGCGTGGGTGTCATTCCCACAGTCCTGTGTTTCGAATTATTGTACATGCGCATCAACACGGGTAGAATGCTGACCCATTCGTGCGAACCTCTGGCGGTAAACTCTCGGAACATTTTACCCTTCAGAGTCCGGTTGAACCGTTCCACGATACACGCTTTGGTCGTACTGAACGTTGAATACTTTTTAATTGTATACTTTGTCATTAGGGTGTCAAATGTTTTATTGTAAAATTCTTTGCCGTTATCCACCTGCAATAGTTTCGGGGGTGAGCGATCGCACAATATTTGTGCAAAAGCTTTTGCAACTTCCGTACCGGTTTTCGTTTTTAACGCTAGTGCCCAGGCGAATTTCGTAAAACAGTCGATAACGCACAATATGTACTTGAAACCTTTGTTTTCCCCGGCGTACGGTATCATCTCCACGAGATCGGCTTGCCATAGATCGTTTTTTCCGTACACGTTGACCGCACGCCTGGTATAATTTTTCCTCGCCGCTTTATGCAACTCATACGCGATCTCACGTTTAGACATCGTCGGGAATTCTCCTTATTATCCCCGCTTCGTGTAATTCCTCGTAAATGGACAGTATCTCGTTCGAAACCCCCGTATTGCCCGCGGACCGTGTTGCCAATAGAAGTCGAAGTCGGTCGACAAGTTCATTCGGGTCGTTCCAATAGACTAGAGAATTATGTTTCTGTAACCTCACAGACAGTCCACCGCCGCCGGACGCAAACAATTTGGTAATAATATTTTTATATTTATCCCCTCCAGTTTTAATCTTTGTCCCGTCTATCGTCAAGTGTGCCGATGTCTGAACCAATATCGATTTATATGTTACCAATTCTTGGGCGGTATATCGATACGGATGTTTGGAAAACAGCAAACTTACAAGCCCCGGTGTGAGAAGGCGTGTGATGCCCCCGATAACTAGCGTGTTCCCGATGAATTTAATTTCTTTGTCGCCCAGCTTGATAGTGCCGTTCGATAGTTTTCTCGGACCGTACGTTCTGTCTTTGGCCTGCGAACGAAACCAGCTTTCGATGTCCACCGAAATCGGATTATTCGAAAATTCCGTCTCGTTTTCAACGTTCTGCTCCTCGTCCTCCTCCTCCTCCTCCTCGTCCTCCTTGTAATCGGTCTTACCGTTTGACGATATTTTTTCCAACGGATCGATTATAGGTTTCAAAGTTTGCGCGACAATGGCACGAGCATCGGCCTCACCGTGTTTCAACGCCGAGTATTTACGTCTGATATTCTCCTTTGCCTCGGCTAATTCGGCTATTAGTACACCTTCGGAAGTCATGGCTTTGACTGTTGCAATGCACTGGAGACGTCGTTTTATATAACGACAAACGTATCGAACCCATGTCTATACCGACCGTTATCTCGTTCGCAGTCCTTGCTTATAACGATAAAATCGAACCGTCCATGGGCCCAACGACTTGTGCAAAATTCTCTGAAATCCGAATACTTCATATCGCCCGAACAGTGTTCCGTGTAAACGTGTTTCAAATTGGTCTCGTCCTGTTTAAACAATACTATGAAATTACTGTTATCCCGGATAAGGTGTTTCGGCACGCGGGCGTAAGATTGTGCCAGGTAGCACACGTCGATTCGATTATGTCGACCGCGCGAGAAATACGACCGCACGATAGTTTGACTCTCGCATATTACGTCGTCGAACACGAACACCGAATCGGGCAGTGCTTTTTCCGGCGTGATAACCTCATCGTTTTCGTAGAACGTGAACAATCGAACACCTTGAACATCTTTTAGAATATCGCCTAACAATCTATATTTGGGTTGATCCAGCGATTTCGAATAAATATATACGTTATGAAATCTTATACCGTTGACGTCGGTCAACAGAGCGTAGAGTAAATTCGTCTTACCGCATCCGGAGGGTCCGACAATTAACGCGCGTACGGTGTTCGGCAATAGCACTCCGTGTCTTGACGATACGCAAGTTTGAGGGTCGACGTTTCCGACCGTAAGTTTTACGTCCTGATCAATGAAACGCATTTTTTATGTATAAATTGTTGTGCACGATCTACGACTAAGTCATTGCACAATGTCACTCCGTCGAAGGAACACTGGGAATAAAGGACGAGGTGTTATCAACTCGCTTATAAACAAAATACCAGTCGAGCTACACGTTCCCGGTACGTAACTAGTCGTTCGCACCACGACGAAATACCTTTTATTATTATTATATGCGTCTGTTTTCATTTTACATATAGGCTACCAATACTGCGGGCCCGGTACAAATTTGAAAAAACGTCTAGCCCGCGGTGATAGTGGCGTAAACGCTCTCGACTCGTACTGCAAAGACCACGATATAGCGTACGATCGTAGTGATGCGATAGCAGATCGTAAAAAGGCGGACTACGTGTTGGAAAACAGAGCTTGGGACCGGGTAAAAGCGAAAGATTCGTCGTTGAGGGAAAAAGCGGTCGCTTGGGGTGTGACCACCGCGATGAAGTTAAAACGTAAACTAGGCGGCGGTTGTAGATTTAAATCAGCCGTCGCGGCCGGCAAGAAAATACTAAGGCAAAATAAAGGCGAAAAAGACCTGGTGAAATTAGCTCGAAAATGTCTTGCGGCGGCTAAAAAAACTTCGTGTTCGAAGAAGAAGAAGAAGAAGAAGAATAAAACGCAGACGCCTAGAATCATACCTATTCCGAAAACGGGCGGTATGCTACCTCTGATACCTATTTTCGCCGGACTGTCGGCATTAGGTTCGCTGGCCGGCGGTGTTGCGGGCATAGTGAAAACCGTGAGTGATTGGAAATCTGGGAAAAATACACCGACTCATCTGGGCAAAGGCCTGTACATTAAACCGTATAAAGGAGGAGGAACGTATAAAATCGAGAAGGGGAGTGGATTATATGTACGACCGTACAAAGGTGGTGGCGGCGGCGGCGGCGGTTCATCCGGGGGAATGAAGAGGACAAAAAACTGATATCTACGTTACCCGATAGAGCGCTGTACGATTATGAGGTTATAAAGTACGCGAGCATGTTGAAAATACCACATTTCATCGGCGTGTTCTCGAGAGACACACTGCCTGTGCGTGCGAAACCTCGAGAATCTGCGGTACTCAATCTAGACATCGAAGACGGTACGGGCACGCATTGGGTAGCGTATAGAAAAAACGGAAAGCAAGTCGAATATTACGACAGTTTCGGTAACTTACCGCCACCGCTGGAACTGCAGACGTATCTGGGCGGCGGGTGCGTGATTAAATACAACTACGAGAGGCATCAGAAATATAATACGGAAAACTGCGGACGTCTGTGTTTGGAATTTTTAACATGTGCACGTTAACACTGACCGGTGATTCGAGCGAGTTGACGTGCGATATTTTCCCACCGATAGAAGTTAAACGTGACTCACAATTGTGCTTGTTGAGCTTGCACACGAACAATTCCATACCGAATATCGAGTCTACGTGTAATACCGTGCGATTCAAGTCTGCATCGGGTGCTATCCATACCGTGGTCATACCCGTAGGCACATACGAGTTGGACAGTTTAGAGAATTATATAAAGAAAAAAATTCCTGAAACGGTTGCATTCGTATTGAAATCGGACAACAATACGTTAAAATGTTTGATGAAGTGTGATTATGAAATCGATTTCACAGTTGAAAGCAATATATCGGGATTATTGGGTTTCGACGGTAGATTATACGCTGCGAGAACTGAGCACGAATCCACGAATATAGTAAACATAATGAAAGTTAACAGTATAAAGGTCGATTGCAATTTAATATCCGGCTCATTCAACAACGGTGTACCGGATCAAGCGATACACGAGTTCGCACCTTCGGTGGCACCGGGATATAAAATCATCGAAGTTCCACTGCAATCCGTATACTATCCGCTGATCGACTATTCGATTAGCCGAGTGCAGTTGACTTTGAGAGATCAGAACAACGAATTGATAAATTTACGTGGAGAACCGATCACAATCCGTCTTCAAGTCAAATAATATTGAAATGGCTCTCAAATTTAATTTCGGTATAAAGAGCGGTGTTGTCGAGGGGAAAAATAGTAATAAAGTCGGGCCCACCAAGGCAACACGTACGGTGAAGCAGAAGAAGAAGAAGAAAACAGGTGGAAAAAAATCAACTCTAACGAAAAATAATCAAGCGTTACTACGTTCGTTGAAATTATTGCGATAATGGACGATACGTATTTAGCGGTGACCGAGGGCTACGTGGACGAGTGTAAAATCATCCAAAAGCAGTACCAATCTTTCCTACCGTATTCAACGACTGCCATGTCTAGCAATGATGAGGTTAGAATATCTATTCAAAATATGGATGCATATACGTTGCCGTGCGAGAGTTATATTTTCATCGAAGGGAAAATCAATAAACCTAGTGACGTCACGATAGACTACTGTTTTACAAATAACGGATTAGCGTTTTTGTTTTCCGAGATGAGATACGAACTGAACGGCGTGGAAATACAAAAATTGAAATATCCAGGAATAACAACGTGTCTGAAAGGATACTGCTCGTATTCACCGAACGATATGCAGGAACTTCAGAACGCCGCTTGGGACATGGAAATGAGCAAAGAGAACAACCGAGATTTTTCGCCCGAAGGCAAGTTTTCCGGATGTTTGCCGCTAAAACATTTATTCGGTTTTTGCGAGGATTACAAAAAAATAATGCTCAACTGCAATCAACAATTGATTTTAAATCGATCGTCCAACGATTTAGACGCGTTATACGTGAAAGAAGTATCCGGTAACACGGTGGGCGATAGTTATAGAAAAGTTACGATTGAAGTGAACAAAATCATGTGGAAAATTCCCGTAGTTAAAGTGGCTGATAGGGAGAGATTAAAACTGCTGAAAGTGTTGGATTCGCGAAAAACATTATCGTGCGCATTCAGAACGTGGGATTTGTGCGAATATCCCGTACTACCGCAAAATACAACGCATTCGTGGACAGTCAAATCCAGCAATTTACTCGAGAAACCTAGATTTGCCATAATCGGTTTTCAAACGGATCGGAAAAACAACTTGAACAACCCGTCCGCCCTGTTCGATCATTGCAGTCTGAGAAACATTAAAGTCCACCTGAACTCTGAAGTGTATCCGTACGAGGATTTTCGTGCAGACTTTGCGAAAAAATCAATGTCTTTATTGTACAAAGCGTATACCGATTTTCAAAAATCGTATTACGATAGAAGCACACCTTCACCGCTGCTGTCGAGAAAAAAATTCCAAGACTTCACGCCCATCACTGTTGTAGATTTATCGCACCAGAATGATAATGTGAAATCGGCTACGGTGGACTTACGTGTAGAGTTCGAGACAACCATGGATGTACCGGCCAAAACTTCGGCATACTGCCTGATTTTACACGATCAAGTTATAACGTACAATCCGTTTAGCGGAGAAGTTCGAAAATTGTAATTTACTTTTTTTTTTTTTTTTTTTTTTTTTTTTTTTTTTTTTTTTTTTTTTTTATATTTATATATATATATATATGTATATAATTTATATTTGATGAATAAAGTGTACGAGTTATGTTTTTAAAATATAAATGCGTTTATTTATATCACACGTCATAAATAATGATATGATAAATATTTTTATACAAAGGTATTATTATCATTTCGGTATCCAAAACATTTCCGATACCGCGGTATCGAAATCCATAACCGATGATATAGGTTGGTGTCGAGCAAAGAAATCGGGTCCGTCGTTGACATCCAGAGTGGCACTCTCGTGCAAATAGTCCGAGGACCCCATCGACGGTGAATAACACGGTACGGACGGTGGTGATGGTGGTGTTGGTGGTGGTGGTGGTGGTGGTATCATCGCGGCATACCCGGTTAAGTGTGGTGTATGAGGTTCCTCGCTGTTATTCACGTCGATCGCTAACGATGCCCTCGCTAACGATATCCGATCACCATTACATTCATCACACCTCTAAATAACATACACACATAACAATATATTTAACAATTCATTTGAATTTCAATATTTTATATTTTTACAAGTACCTTAGTCGATGCTCTTATACTACTACTCCTCCTCCTTCTCAGCAAATCCCACTGTTTTGCCAACTGCTCGGCCGCATATATTTGAAGTGGTACGGTGAAATCTATTCCGCAGCGCACCGATATCGATATAGGTCTGACCCTCTCATCTGCGAGATTTTCGATAAATGAAATCATTGCACCCGGGTTATTCGGCGGCGGTAACGACGACGATGACGACGACGACGACGAAGATAGTGGTGGTGGTGGTGGTGACAAATCGATTCTGCTAAATCGGTCATCGATGCTCGCCACTAATCGATCGAACTGATCGATAACCTCGGGTTTGATTACTTCAACGTTCCGGATAATCGTCTCCGAAATGGATCGTTCTAGCCGTTTCAATACTACGAGATCGTCTCGATCGAGCATTACACGCTGACCTTCATGAACTGTAGATTCAATGCTGAGCACACTTTTTCCGCGATGCACCATACAAGATATCGATGTACACGCGGTGGTCATGAAAAAAGCATGTCTGCACTTTACCGGTTTTTCCGATAAAAACGATATAATATCGTTCATTAGTGGGAATATCCTGACAAACAACTCGGATGAGACACTGATAAAATGTTTCATGGTGATGATATGCACCGCAACGTTGAAGTCGTCGGCAGGATCGAGTCCTATGTTCAAAAATTTGCGCGCATCAAAGTCTATCACGAAAGATGAAGAACTGATGAGCTTATTAGGTGCAGGAGTTGCATGCTTGATCTTCTTGCCGACGACCGCGTAATCGACCATCGAACCTACCATCTTGATTAACACTATACGTTTTTTTGAAATATCACTCACCGACACTTTATTGAAAAATAAGACTCGAAATTATAACACTATTCACGGTAACTCTATTGTATTGCGATACAGTACGGTTTAAGGTGTTGTTGTACAAAAGTCAGAAGCGAAGTGAAGTATAGTCATGTATTTCGACCTTATATATAAATCAAACACGCTATGTATAGCTAATCAATACGCCCGTAGGGTATAAGTTAATCACATTT